ATACATATCATGTGTTGATCCTGGCATGAAACTGCCAACTTCAGACAGCAGGACAACTCAGCTGTTCCGTTCAAGCCATCCCTTTGAGAGATACGATGCTGAATATCGCCACCAGTTCATGTTTGAGCGAATGAAAGACGGCGAAGATGAACCCATGATGCTGACTTTAATTTGGGGCATTGTCCCATCAGACAATGGAGACCACTTTGATCCAAAAAGTAATGGATCTTTATCTGTTGATCCAGGGTTCAATATGAGCAGTCTACAAGCCCAGATATGGTTGCGAGATCTATGTGGAAAAATTCAAAACCAGACCTTCTATTCTCCATTGTCAGCTGAACAAGACACAGCAGAAGACAACGTGTGTTTTGTTGAACATCTGATACACTGGGTTTCCATACGTCGCTGTTCAGAAAGCGAGGATGCATTTAGCTTCTGCTGCAATAATATTCCCTTTCCTTACCCACCAAGGGTTTTTGAGCAGTGCCTTAGCATGATGGTGGCGGAGCAGCATGCAGAAGGGCGCTTACCCAGTGCTGGAGGCTTACGGTTTGATTCAGAGGGTCGAATCGCTGCTCTTGTGGTAATATTCAAGACTGTTCAACTTTATAGCTTCAACTACAACAGAATGTCACAGTTTTACCAAGAGATCTTATCCTGGTTTAATAGGGAAATCTCTAAAGCTCCAGCTGGACTTCAGAGAGGATGGTTTGTAAGTCAGCTAGGCTTATATGATCTCCAGCAATGCTTGAGTTCTGAGACTCTGGAGGTGGCGGGTTTTTCAGTAGCTCTAACATTTGCACTGCTCTTACTTACAACGTGGAATATTCCATTAAGTGTGTACGTGTCCATTGCGGTGGCAGGAAGTGTGTTTGCTACTGTTGGTCTCCTTGTGCTTTTAGAATGGCAGTTAAATGGTGTGGAAGCACTCTTCATTTCAGCAGCCGCAGGTCTCTCTGTTGACTTTGTAGCCAATTATTGCATTTCATACAGCCTGGCCCCACACAGCGACAGACTTGGCAGAGTTGCACATTCAATCAAGAGAATGGGTTGCCCGGTAGCTACAGGTGCTGGGGCGTATTTTTGTGTGGGCATTATTATGTTACCGGCAACTGCATTGCTTTTTAGAAAGCTTGGGATCTTCCTCCTGCTCGTAAAGTGTGTTGCTTGTGGCTTTGCTACGTTCTTCTTCCAGTCGCTGTGCTGCTTCTTTGGCCCCCAGAATAACTGTGGGAGAATAACCCTACCCTGTGTTACACAGCAGTCCACTGAAAATATACTGTCATCCTGTTCAGCAACAGAACCTGGGACCAACAATCCTGCAGCTAATGGGGCATTCGGCTGTGGCAAAGGTTCTCGGGTTCGAAGAAGTTTCAATAAAGAAAATGAAGGCTTCCTTTGCCCTAATCAACAGCACCACAGAAAGAGGCAACCAGTCGGAGGACGGGAACCAGAACAGAATGAGCTTCAGCCACTCGCTTGCCAGTTGAGTGACAGCTTCGAGAACAGCACTTGCACCAGCAAGCTGTCCAACAGACCTTCTGTCCTTTCTGATGACATTCAATTCTGTGGCCTTAGTCCAAAGCAAGACTATGATCGAGTCAGCATTGAGGCTGACAGCACAGAAATGTGTAGCAGGCACCTTAAGGGATGCAACCCACCTCCAGCGCTCCAGACCTCATCCCCGTACAAAGAGAACATGTTGCGTCTTCCACAAGATGCATGTAAAGAGAAGGTTTTGTGCAAGAAATGCAGAGGTCAGTCAAGAGGTGGGCTTCAACTTTGGAACGTGTCTCTATCGTCTTCCTCTAGTATGGATGAAATCATGATAACTCAGACTACAGACACTGTCAATGAAAGGTCACTCTCAATGGATGACCATATACACAAACGACTGTTGTCATGTCAGTCTCAAAGCTCCATAGAGGGACTCGAAGAATCCAATGACACTTGCTTAACTGAGGTAGAAGCGGCTATTCCTCAAGCTGGTAAGATCGAGGATGAATTTCAACCTGGCCACCTTAATGGCAAGAGGGATACTTTACGTCTGTCCTTGAAGGAGACTGTATATGACCTTGCATCTCCAGGGTCTGGTAGGGTGAGGACAGCTCAAAGTGATGTGCCAGTGATACTGCCCAACAGCAAACCCGATATGCCTGATGTCTGGATAAAAAGGGAAGGAAAAGGTGAAGGTGGCAGCTGATCAATATTGTCAACACGCTGAGCAAATCTAATCCACAGCATGGCCAGTACTTTCTATGGTGGGCTGAACATTTCTACTCAAATTACACTTCCGAATCTGGCTGAACAATGCTTACCAGACAATGCCTTGCAAACACCAGTTAATAGTACAGAATAATACACAGAAATTGTTTTTATAAGCATGATTCCTTGCATGCTCGTGAATATATACACAGAATGTGCACCTATAATAGCCTTTGAAAACAAAATTCTTCAGAGGCCTTGAACTGCAAATGTACAAACACTTGTTGAACAATTGTGCCTGTTCTTTTACACAACCAAGCCATGAGTTTTTCAACAAAACACCATCATTTTTGCAAAGGTCACAATCATTGATTGATTTCTTTTGTAGATAAAAAAAACAACAACATAACAAAAATGTTCTCCAAGTAATTTTCAGATATTCTTTACTTGAAAAGCACTATTATTCATTATTACAGTTATTTTACTCTAAACGTATGCCAGGGACACTTGGCGAAAACACGCTTGCTACTGTGGCTATAACTGTTCTACACATGAATACATTCTATCGCATGTTGTGGTAAATAATACCTTTTCAAACTTGATTTGTTCACAAAAGCTGTACAGAAGTATCATAATGTTATTGCCAGAGACATAAAAATACCTCAAGGACTGCCCATCAGAACATACTGTAGGCCAATTACCACAGTGAGTTTTACTTAGGATGCTTCAGTGTGTGGATGTTTCACCAATGCCCGAGATTTACAAATCACTGCAATATGACATTTGAACCCTATATAAGACTGTGAGTGTTACCTCTGTTCAGTATGTATTTGAAAGCTATGCATTAAGTAGAATGCATAAGGTTGTATGTAAAAGTTGTTCCGTGACGTGCACAAAGATGTCATTCCTTTATGAAACTGGAACATTAGCAGAAGTCATTTGTTTGCTGGAAAGAAGATCCTTTATATTCAGAATGATTTAGTGTTACTTCATTAAGGCCAGCGGATGTATTAACGCATCTTAAAATACAAAGTGCCAAAATGTAAGAACAATTTGTGCCAAAAGTTTTTTTTCTTTTCCTGAAATGATGCAGCTGTATTATAAAACCTGCTGGTGTGGAAATACTATTGTTGGCAGCCTCTGTGTAAAGTCAGATTTGAAGTTGTCTGAAGATAAACTATGATGAAGTTCAATAAAAGGAACTTATTTTTAATTGAGGTTACAGTGTCATTTATCTCTGACTTTCCATGGCGACTTCAGGTCACAATAGGTTGATGTAATTAAAAAGCTCACTCATGCTCTATTATGGTGCAGGGAGAGGGAATAAAAAATTAAGAGACCACTTAAAAAATATTAATTTCCCTGTACTTATTGGGTATGTGTTTGAGTAAAATGGTAACAATATACCATTTATGATCTATATTTATTATAATATTTCCTCCAAATGTAAAAAAAAAAAAAAAAACTATAAATATTTACACACACACACACACACACACACACACACACACACACACACACACACACACACACACACACACACAAAGTCAGAATTATAAGCCCCCCTGTTTATTTTTTTTCCCATTTTCTGTTGAACATAGAGAAGATTTTTTTTCAACACATTTCTAAACATAATAGTTTTAATAACTAATTTCTAACTTTTGGATCAATCCCTTCACCATTAAACTGACTTCGTTAAGTAAACAATGTTTGATAACAACAGCATTTCTCTGCCACTCCGTTCACCTAGTTGTGGTTAATGGTAAGTGAGTTGAACTTGTAACCCAAAGATAACTTGTGTTCCTCTGTGAGTTTAGTATACATTTTGCACAAATTTCATATAGAAAGTCCTTTCTTGAAGATGATATCCTTTGGTTTAAATCATTTAATGCAGATAATGAGTCAGACACCGTATCTGTCCATTGCGTGGCCAGTAAAATTCCCATCATCTCTGTTTAATAATTATTCAACCTATTAACAAGCTTAGATTTGAAAGGGTGACAGGCTTATGTAAAGAATTCTTTTTTTTTTCTTCACAGAATTTGTAATTAAACTCTTCTACACTTAATGCTACAATAGGATTTCTGAAAACTTCAAAAAACATAAAAATATGATATATAAACGTACAAAAATATCTGTTTTTGCAAATGAACTCATAAATATCCTGCTGCTGCCTTGTAACGGGAGTATGTTTTTTTTAATCTGTTTGTATAGACCAGTATTATCAAATATTTTTGTTTCATGTATTGTGACATTCTGACATCTTAAGGCAAACTGAGACTGAGAATGATGATGTCCTGAAGCTCCACATTCTGTTCTCAAGGTTTTGTATTTTACCTAATCTCATTTCTTAGACACTATAGCCATTAAATATTTCAAACACAATTTCACAGCAATTCGTAACTTTATGATTTAGTGGCTAATTCGTTTGATCTCTTTCCTACAATTTAGTATGATTTGCTCATCCCCCAATAATGGTTAGGTTTAGGGGTGGGGTTGGATGCCACACCTCTTTTTAATAATCATTAATTTTCGTACGACTGAACTCATACGAATTCATCACGAAACTGAAAAAAAAAAACGTAAAATAGTTACATTTCCTCATGAGATGAGGCTGTATATTTTTGGTCTTAGCATTGCTCAGTAGCTATTTACAATCATTGTTGACTTGCTCCTGAATATACCCCCAACAACAAAAGAAAAATTTGTTGAAAAAATTAATTACATTTAAATTTAAATAAAAAAATCAATTGTTTAAAAGTGTTCTCAATAGTTCAGTCAGTACAGTATTCACATTTTTGTATAATAAAGTCTGCTTTATTGCTGTATGTTCATGTCAGATGTCCTTTCCAAGTACAAGTAACTGAAAGAAATGAAAGACAGCAACGCGCCACATGACTGACCAAAAATAGCCAACTTTTAAGTCAATCCCAATTCGAACATATTTAATAACTGAATAATCATTGTGTGGTAGAGTCCGCCAACAAAACTGCATAAACACATCTGACTTTAGCTTAATCCTGAATCCAGTCTTCTTTAGCCCAGTCGGGCAGTTGAGTAGAGTATTCAAAATCAGGTCCCTTATAGCGCAGCGCATGCAGATACATAATCAACTCTTTCTCTGTCGGGTCAGGCCTTACGATTTTACACTCTCCACATAAATGATCTCTAACAAAATCCTTTGATCTCCCAGTTCTGCTGGCATCATCGGAGGCCAAATCCTTATCTTTGCGTGCCCCGTTTATCTCTCCCACAGACTCAGATGTGCTCTGCTGAACAACTTGCCTACTTTCTGCCTTCACTTCATCCAGTGACACTTCACTGGAGCCACTGCTTGACTCGATCGCCGTTATTTGCTCGTTGCGTCCTTGAGCGCCATCCTTACACTTTGTCTTTCCTGAAACCTCTTCATCAGGCAAATCCAGCAAGTGCAGGCTCTCCTTTGACCTATGTTCTTCGATGAGAGCCTCTAGGAGCTCCTCGTCGCTCATACCCACCAGCCCTCCTTTCGCTCTGTTCGGACCCCACGCGGAAGATCCGTAAATGGGATCGTTGAGAATTGGGAAGCCCAGGAACTGAAGGTGAACCCGAATCTGGTGCGTGCGTCCTGTGAGTGGCCGACAGCGGACCACACTGGAGCGTCCGTTAAAGCTCAGTCTCTGGAAGATGGTGCGGGACTCTTTGCCTTTGGGATCAACCCTACAGAGACCTACGCGAAAAGACACCACCAGGATGGGCTCCTCACAAACAACCTCTGCCTCTGGAAACTCTCCCTCCACACGACACACATACTCTTTCTCTAACTGGGAAATGAAGAAAAGATTGTTAAAGTCACAAAAACGTCACTTTATTTTAAAGGTACAATTCCCACTATTAATAAACAATTCACTAAGACTTTATTATCCATAAACTACCAATCAATAGACTACCAATAATTACTTATTAATAGTAACTAGTTAGTAGGGCTGGGCAATATTCAGAACCTATAAATCAATCAAATTTTTCCAGGTCAATTTTTTCAGACACTTTCCCTGCTGTGAATGTAAATTTATATTTATATGTTTTTTTATACTTATACATTATTCTGATGTTATACTTCTGCCAAGCCCAAATGTACAGTCCTTCGCATAAATGCGCACCTCTTTAAAAACTTGTAACTACATGTCACAACTACACATAGTGCAAACTTTGTGATTGGTCAGCTTAGTAGCAGTGATAAGGGTGGGCAGCACGGAGAGTCGGGTTTTAGACAATGTGTGTTTTAATTTCAGTTGTTCAGCATTGATGTATAATAAAATATCATAAATAGTAGATATTTACTTCAATTATTTTAAAATCATGTTATGCACCCTTCATTTAAAAATCTCTCACCTGTAATAAGTGAGCATATTTACTGTACAAAACTTGTCAGTGAACTATGAGGGTAAAAACAAAATAAATAAATAAAATAATCATTTATTAATCATAATCTAGTTAAAATATTCAATTAATCGAGATTTTGATTTTAGGCCAATAGATATTGAGTAGGATTAAGCATGTAGAATAAGATTATACTTTATAAGTACTAATAAACAGCCAATATCTTAATAATTGGCATTAGGTAATAGTGGAAATTAAAACTAAATTTTAAATTTAATTAATTTAAACTATTTATTTAGTTTAGAATTTAAACTAAAGTGGTACCAATTTTAGTCATTTTCTGTTGTGTGTACATGATGTGTGAATTCCTTTTGGCATACATCTCTTTTTAAACTAAATAATCCTTTATCAGTATGCCATGATTGAAACTGGTTTAAATTCAAATTCTCTAATCAAAACATATTTTTCAATCATTCCAAATGATTAAATCCACAGTAACTGTGAATCCCCGTTTATTTGAAGAACAAACATTACACTTTATAAATGGGCCACATTTGTTATGAGGTATCACATTAGTTAAAGAAAACTTACAACAAATAATTATTTTTTAGCAATTATTAATTTTAGTTGATATCTGCATTTTTAAAACATCATTAAAATCACTCAAAGCTATATTTGTTAACATCAATTAATACACTGTGAAAGAAGTAACACATGAACAAGCAATGCACAAGTGTAGTTCTGTCACTTGAAATGAATGAAAGTTAATAAATGCTGTAACTAATGACACTCAAATGTAAAAGCATTAACAGTTATGTTACTATACTAAATAAATGCTTCATTAAAACATTTCAATTGGGGGACTAAAGTGTTTTTCTTTTAAAACTTTTGAAACATTTTATTTTAATTTATGCTAAAAATTAAACAAATTTACACAAAGAGCAAAATACTACATCAAGTGACACACATTGTCTTTTTATACTGACCACCACAAGTAGATTGTGGACAAGAATATTCCAAAGCAAATGAGGGTATAGCTTTTTATGCTAAAAGGCTATTTCAACCGTTTCTTTTTTTTCCTCACTATTTACTATTTGCTTCCCCCAGGTTTGAAATATACTTGCGGTGGTATCCTCACAGCACATAAATGGTCAACTACATGTGACAAACAAAACAAAAGTGATTTTTAACTATATTTTTATTTATTATGTCACTGTTATACACCTTTTCTTTTTAATGGGTTAAAGTTATCCACTATTTCTGTTACTTTTTATGCTATTCAGTATTGCTAAAGCATTTTAGATATGTATAAAATATGTAATATATTAATATCATTAAATTAAAAAAATATACAGCAAATGAAATATAGATAACAGAAAAAATAGACATCATTGCTAAATATTATAATACTTTCTAGAATAAAAAGTGTAGATTATTTAAATCAGGCAAATTAGTTGATTAGCCATTTCTATTGGTGTACAAATATTTAGCAGCCAGTATATTTTATTTTCTCTGAGTATATAGTAAAGTTTATCCGACTCATTTATTAAAGGATTAATCATTTAATGTTTTTCTCGTGGCTGTGTGCTTGCAGTCAGCTGCAAAAATGTAATGCAAAAACGCATACAAATGGCTGCAACTAGAGGTCTGCATTCCCGCGGCTGTCCCGCGGACGCCGCGGGACCAGACCAGATTTCTGTGGCGCGGGAATAAATTTCCGAATAAATCGCGGGAGCGGTCGGTAACGGGTTTAATTTGGGATGGGAGCGGGCTGTCTAGCAAAATCGCTCCCGACTCCCGAGCTACCACGCGTATGTATGTGTGTAAATAAAATAGCGCGATGCTGTGTTTAGCTTGTTTGTTGCTGTGTGTGTGTGTGAGCACGCGCGAGTGAGTGAGTGAGTGAGCGAGTGAGTGAGTGAGTGAGTGAGTGAGTGAGTGAGTGAGTGAGTGAGTGAGTGAGTGAGTGAGAGAGAGAGAGAGAGAGAGCTTTGCCTGTGTGTGTGCTTGGTGCTTATGTGTGTGTGTGTAAGTGCGCGCGCGAATGAGAGAGAGAGAGAGAGTACACAGCACGACTAGAGAAATATTTTTCCCCCAATTTGAAACATTGATCAATTCATTTTTTAATTTAAATGACTCAGAAAAACTTTACCATATACTCGGAGAGGATGAATTGACATTTAGACTAGCTGCAACATATGTATATACCCTACACACCATAAGAAACGGTTAATGTAAATTTGTGTCTTATTTAAATAATTTAAACTTTTTACTATTATTATTATTATATTTATCAAATGTATTGTTTTTTTTTGTGTGTGTGTCATTATATCTTATTTGTATTACTATTGATTATTATTTTCAATGGTTTTAATATGTTTCATATTTGAAATGCTTTGGCAATACTGTATTTAATGTCATGCCAATAAAGCAACTTGAACTGAAAGCAACTTGAACTGAACTGAGAGAGAGAGAGAGAGAGAGAGAGAGAGAGAGAGAGAGAGAGAGAGAGAGAGAGAGAGAGAGAGCTTTGCCTGTGTGTGTGCTTGGTGCTTATGTGTGTGTGTGTTAGTGCGCGCGCGAATGAGAGAGAGAGAGAGAGAGAGAGAGAGAGAGAGAGAGAGAGAGAGAGAGAGAGAGAGAGAGAGAGAGAGAGAGAGAGAGAGAGAGAGAGCTTTGCCTGTGTGTGTCAAAATTTAGTCCCGCGCAGATCTCTAGCTGCAACTTTAGAAAGCGAATGTAAAAGCCAAATCCCAGACATTTAAGGAGATTCAGAAACTAATCAGTTGGACGCATTTTGCTGTAGGTCTGCAGTGCACATGACTGTATGTGGGAGTATTGACAGTTCTCGTGCACACAGAACCAGCAGTAGGAAACGTGCAGAGCAAAGAAGAATCGATTGTAAATGTTTGGCCTTCTTGGACGGATACAAAAGAAAGTGTAAAAGGATGATAATAATAGCATTATTCATGCGTCACTACCAAATATACTTGTGTGGGAAGCACTGAGCTCTATACTTTCATGATTTTTTTTCTTATTTTAAACACAAAACAAGAAATGAGATATTCTGATGAATATTAGTAAAAAGCAGCCACTAATTTTCATAGTAGGAACAAAAATATGATAGACGTCAATGGCCATTTTTTCCAACAGTCTTCAGTATATCTAGCTTGTGTTCAACAGAGGAAAGACCCTCAAACCGGTTTGAAATAAGTAGAGTGAGTAAATAATATGTTTAATATTTGGGTGGGGCCGCACGGTGGCGCAGTGGGTAGCACTGTCGCCTCACAGCAAGACGGTCACTGGTTCAAGCCCCGGCTGGGTCAGGTGTTAGTTTCAGTGTGGAGTTTGCATGTTCTCGCTTTGTTCGCGTGGGTTTCCTCCAGGTGCTCTGGTTTCCCCCACAGTCAAAAGACTTGCGCTTTATGTGAATTGGTTAAGTTAAATTGTCCTTAGTGTATGAGTCTATGAATTAGAGTGTATGGGTGATTTCCAGTGATGGGTTGCAACTGGAAGGGCATCCGCTGCGCAAAACCTATGCTGGATAAGTTGGCAATTTAATCCACTATGGCGACACCTAATTAAAAAAGGAACTAAGCTGAAAAGAAAATGGATGAATGAATGATGAATAATTTGGTAACCTATCCTCTAAAATAGCTGTACTAAATATGGCGAACAAACTCTGAAGGACGTAAGACAGAATTCTCCAGATTTCTTGGTACGTCTCACCTGTCTCTCTCGAACCATCACATCCAGTTTTTTGGAGACCTCGAGTGTTCGTGCAAAAAGCAGCACACCTGAGGTGAGGCGGTCCAGACGATGAACAGTGTGCAGGCCAACAAGGCCTTTCTCCTTTCCCAGAATGAAGATGACAGTGTTGTGTCGGTAGCGACCGCAGGGATGGACAGGCAGTGAGGAGGGTTTATCCACCACCACCACTTCACCATCATCCACCAGAAGCTTTAAGGGCTGGCCGCACACCGGTGGCTCATGACGATGAACAGTGTTCCTCAACAAGTCATTGTTCTAATCGAAAAACAAAACAATGAAGAAACTTTGAGATGCACTTACAGTTTGGAGAACCTGTTTAAACTAATTTTAAATAACAAGATTCTGCTGTACTAGAAATATTCTGTAAACCTACTGAAAACCGGATTAGTTTTGTTTTTGTGATTTGTTTACTTTTTACAATTATTTTTTTTGTGTTTTTTCACCTTTATTATGACAGGACAGTAGAGATTTCTGATAGGAAAGTATTGGGAGCAGAGAGAGAGAAAGGATCAGCAAAGGACCTTGAGCTAGGAATCGAACTTGGGTTGCCGTGATCATGTCGGTGCTATATGTCGACGCACAGTACCACTAGGTTATTGGCACTGACGTGATTAGTTTACTTAATGTGGCAGTATAAATTGTATCACAATTATATCATTTTTTTTTTTTTGAGACTTTTCATTTCTTAGAGTTGTTATATTTAACAAGTAATTAAAGTAATATTTAAGACTTATCTCTAAATTTTGGATTTGTTTGTGTTCTGAATGTAATTTGTTAATTATAGTAGGTGCCATTTTATTATTCGATGTCTGAATTCACTGAGAATAAAATAATGTCACCGCACTGTACGTAGTTAAGTAATATATATCATCACATTAAAAGTACTACTAGATTTGTAATAGTAATATAACTTTAAGTTATATTAACTTAAAGAGCAAAGTAATGCATTACTTTAAAAAATTATAATTTTTGTCACTTTTTATTTTAATTGATTTTTTTTATTTTTATAAATTGCTGAATTAAACCAAACGTAGTGACGTTGAATCATGACCTCAATGAGAGAATATGTTAATTATTTTAAACGCAACAAAGAAATGGAAAAGTAGAGGATTGTTTCAATGGACAATGATTTTCAGTGATTGTCCACAGCAAAGGCGAGGACAAGTAACGCAAAAAGTAACGTAACGCATTACTTGGCATGAAAAGTAACAGTTAATAGTTACTTTTTGGGGGGAGTAACTCAAATATTGAAATGTACTACTTTCAATAGTAACTTTCCACAACACTGCTCAAATATAGGGCGACATAGGGAAAAATCAAGTGATCTCTTACCTTCAATACCACATTCAGGTCATCCACAGGGGTTTCATTCAGTTTAATTCGCCCCTCTTTGACAGCAGCATTGTAGTAATCCAAAGATTCCGCCCGAAATTCCTTCTTAAAAACGTCCAGAAGAGTTTTACCAATCCAGCGCCCCTTACAGTAAGACTTAAAGTCAAAATAATAGGGGTGCACTTTTCGCAGACCGCCTTCAAAATAGTAGGAGGTTTCCGCGAAGTGCTCCTGGTTGAAGCTGACGCCGGTGTTGCGCTTCTGCGGGGGAGGCACGTAGCGCTCACCGGGCCGCAGCTGCTTTCCGCCGCCACGCTTTCGCTTCCTACCGCTGCATTGTCCTGCAGCCTCATCCGTCTCCTCGTTTTTACGCTTCCCGCAGCTTGTTTTGACAGTGCTGTCCGTGTCCCCGCCGCCTTCTTCCCCTTTATTGTCCATGTCGTACAGTGATAAATGTGTGTTCACCGGGTGTTTTGAGGACTCTACTTGCGTGCTGTTTCTCCTGACATTCAGCACTGAACAATGGGTTCTCTGAGTTTCAACACTCACGTTTCTGTTCTGATACACGCGTTTTATAAATTCACTATTTTGTCTTCTTCCAAATCTTAATAAAGTTAATGCTTGTATGTGTGTTATCTTCCACACGTGAACCATGCTATTCAGCGGTTTAGCGATACATTTCCGTCTTGTGTTGATGACATAACGTGACGTCATGTGTTAGTGAAATATCTGTAGAGTGAAATGTTGTAAAATCTCCCAAGATGTACATTTTTTGGACCAATATTTCTGAAAGTATTCAATGGAAGAGAGGTTATTACCTGAAAAGTTCAGCATATCCAACAAAGAGAGGATCATGTATATTTGCATCATGTATATCCTACAAATTACCAAATTGCTAATTATTTTGAAATATCTCATTTGTGTACTTTTTGCAATGTACATGAAAAAACTTTACTTCACTTATTCTATAGTTGCACTCACGATAAACATCTTTGGGATAACATTTTTTTTTTTTTTTATTTATCATCCTTGTTTAAATATGATTTAAATTTATCTATGAAAGATCTATTTCTGTATTTCTCTGGCAATGACAATGCTTGATCTTATTGTTAAATCTTTTATACACAAAAATAAATTTCGAAATTTAATATCTAGATTTAATACTTTCCTTGCTGAAATTTCGTTCAATATTAAATGTCTTAAGCCTATTAATAAGAAGAATAATACGTTTCTTAAAGCTTATGATAATCTTTTTTTCTTAATGATTGAGGCTTTGTAAAGGTTTTTTTTCCACTTTCTCTTTCCTAACTTTTGCTATTGTATTTTGTCTTCAATGCAGTCATGTTATTTTTCTTGTATTCAATAAAAAAAGTAAAATGCTGTAATTGATTTTATTTTATACACTTCCCAAAGCCAATTAAGTAGAACAGATAAATGTGTGTATTTTTTATTTCAAACTTACATTTAGAGTAGTCCAAACTAATTTTCTTTATTTATACAATTGCATATTTTAATAGCATTTCTTAATTAGATATATTATAAATCTATTTTACTTTTTAATATATACAGTATAATACTGCATGATTATATATTATGATAGTTGTATATAAATTTTCTCTTTCTTGGAAAAAAAAAAAGTTTATATGGTTATTCAGAAATCATATAGAATAGTAAAGGGTTTTTCAAACATCAGTTATGTTGGGGGTCCGTGGAAAATTAGCTAAATGCATAAAAAAAGTTTAACCAAAATCATAGCAGGGTTTGTCTACAAGAAGCTAAGTTTGATGAAGGCCTCTCACACAATATGAACTTATATGAAGGTTTGTGGCATTTAAAGGGCACTTAAAATAAAAATCAGCTTTTGGACAGAACTGTGTGTGTGACCCAGGAGTGCGGTTTCCCCGGCCACCGAATTGATTGACTCGTGCCACGTTTCTATAATAACATGCATACAGAACTTTTTTTTTTTTTTTTTTGCAAATAAACTGGAATTAAAACATTTGTTTCAAGGTTCTGTGATTTTGATAAGTTTTATAAGTTAAAAGTGTTTTTGAAACAGCATGTTTGTAATAAAGACAGTAAAATCCAATTGGTATTTTTGACTAATAAGCTGTGTTTCAGCTTCATTCGAGTCTGTCTCTATCACTGACTGCTGTTTATCTGATGTAACATGATGAGAGGCAGACACACACGTGGCATGATGGGTGGGGAGAAGCAGCTCATTTGCATTTAAAGCCACAGGCTACAAAAACAGCTACAATGTATTCAGACAACAAAATGGGCAGATTCTGGAGCCTATTAATAAATAATCTGATAGGTATTTTGAGCTGAAACATATTCTGGAGACACCAAAGTCTTATCTTAAATCTTGTAAAAGAGCTAAAATAGGTGCCCTTTAAAATATTACAATGACCTGGCAAACTATACTGATTCCGACGTTAATAAGCAAAAGACACAAGTTTTTTTATTTCTGTTTACATTTATTGTGTACATTGAACATCCTACATTTACCATGTAGATTAATACAAAAATGTCCTTAATTAAAAACGTTAAATCAGATTACACAGCTGATTAGACGACAGTAAAATCTGGCTCATGCGCAGAAGAAAGGAAAAAATAATATATATTTTTAAACTAATTCTAAGTCCAATACTTAAAAGTATTTTGTTTGCAGTTTAATTAAGCCTTGGCATATAACTTAGTAGTGAGACGTTAAAAGGTACCATGAAAGCAGTACACTATTTCCATTGCTTCTTGCTGTATAATATGCCGAATAAGCAGAGCACATGGCCACTTATGAAGCATACTGAGATCACAAGCCTTAGATATGGAAGTTCTTGCTCACTCAGGGTTAACGTCTGTGAAGACACACACCACCTACTGAGCTTGTTTCAGTCTTCTAGCAATTTCTGCATCTGAACCTCAGTTTTAAGTGGAGAATCGGTAGGATCCAGTCGATTGTGTTTCTAGGCAGCAGGTGAGATGGGATGAGAGGCTTTTCTTCAGCACTACGGGCTTTCCGAACCACAGCACCAGCGCCATCTCCTGCAGGGGTAACCATACTGCAATCAGAGCTCATCGCTGGAAAGAGAAACAAATCAACAGCCACACACTTCAGATGAGCTGCAGTACAGTACAAAGCAATGTGTTTTCATTCATCTCTGAAAGCCAGACCCTGCAGGAAAAACATCACTTTTTTCATGCACCTGACAGTTTAGAGATTTTGGACTTTGGGGCTTATCTTTATGCAATGGATCATTCAAAATACACTTTTATTTGTTCATTTTCTCACATGTATCAGTTTGTGTCTATAGATTTCAGTTGTAGTACAGATTTTTTATATAGTTTTCTTATTAGGAGTTTTTTTTTTTTTTTTTGGATTAAGACTAAATCTCCACTTCAGTAGCATTTACATACCCCCAAAACTTCATTAATTTTAATTCATATCTTTGTGCTGAAGGTTTTTACCAAGGGTTCATACATTAAACAGAGCTCCCACTCTAACCCACGTGACAAGTTACCAGACTTTCACTGAATAAAATGCTAAATTTCCATGACCTATAATGAACAGTTCAACATACAGCCAATAAATAGCAGCAAAAAGTATTTTAACAGCCTGGTGACTAAACTGTACTAAAGTGATTGTCGTTTTGACAAGCAGAAAAATTGATACAATGATTGTTTCACTTACTTTTCAAATGTCTTGAACTTATGATTTTGTTGTTAATCTTTATGAATCCATTACCCAAAGAGCACCAACACATTAATTACTCCTGAATCACTTTTGGTTTGATTTTAAATAAAATGATATTGAAAAACAGCCTAAACATAACAATAAGCAAGACAAAAAAAAAAACAAGAAATAAAACCGTGTAGAAAATTAGAAAAATTAAATTTTGATAAATAGAAAGAGAAATTTAAAATGTCAAACGAAAATCCCAGGTATCCCATGATTTGGGCAAAAATATGTACAATTCCCTGACTTATAATATCTGGAAAAGACTTATAAAATGATCTGATATTCCATGATTTGGGCTAAAATTTATAAAATTCCCTGACTTTTAATAATTTGAATAGATTTTTTAAAATTTTTAATTCCCTGATATGACATTTCTTTCCTTAAATAATGCATAATAATGAAAATGATTTTTTGGGGCTGTTTGCAGTAAATTCTAAATTAAGCTGTGATAAAAAAAAGAGATTGCGAAATTCCCCTCAGTAAAAACCTTGACTCTAATAAAAAGTAGAAATGTCTGCAAATTAGCACATTCTTATTTAAATAATGGCTTGTTTGCATATTTAAATAAATATTTTTAGAAAACTTGCAATCCAATTAAATGTAATCAATCACCTATTTAAGTCTGGTGATAAACATGAGTTAATTATTATTTGTTTTTCACCCTGTTCACCTGCAGTGTCTTGCCTTATGCCGAGTTCAGACTGCATGATTTTAGCCCCAGTCTTGACTTACCGACAGGTTTTAAAAAAAACTGCTGACAAATGCCTGACATCACAGGCAAATCAGTGCTCGTTCATGTGAGTAACAATCACACAGTATGACCTATTAAAGATGCGATCTCAGAGAATCATGCCGTGTGAAATGTGCTGACTGAAAATAACATTGGCAATTACCTAGAGCCAATGTGAGATTTGCATCCACTAGTATGGGTATCTGCAGGCCAGGGGGAGGTTGGGGTGAAGTTAAAAGTGCTCATTTTCAGTTTATTTGTACCCAAGAAATTGAGGAAAAAAATAGAGTAAATTTGTCCTCTATCGCCAATTTATCTTGCAGTGTAAACAAAGCCTCGACGAAATGCTACCCCAGATAGTCATGCAGTGTGAAAATATCTGTGGCACGACTACTTTGAAAATCATGCAGTCTGAAGTCGGCATTAGGAACTCAAACGTACCCCGGCCACTGGTGTTGCTTGTCTGTCAGTGGGACATAAACCACTCCCATCAGAGGTTTTCTGAGGAACGTGCCATCGCTCTGTCGGTCGTACTGCTCCAGAACTTGGCTTCCACCCTCTGGGCCCACAGGCAAAACAAGTCTCCCACCTGGCTTCAGCTGTTCCAGGAGCTGTTGATGCACAGGTTTAAATAAGACAACTGCAGGGTATATGAACAAGAATTCAATCAGATTCATTCTGTGCATACAGCTTTCGGGAGTGTAGGAGCAGCTGCTCCAACATGAATGGCATCATATGGGGCTTCATCAGGAAAACCAAAGCGTCCATCACCCACTGTGGACACAAACATTAAACATTTGTAATGTAATGTAATTTCAACACCAATGTCATCAAACTTAGATGAACAGAAACAATGTCAATGTAGAAAAAATCTATTATATTAATTCCTCACCCACTAATTTAATTCGTCCAGTTGCAAGTAATTCTGGGTCGTCTGCCTGGACATTTTTCACAGAGGACTGCACCAGTTGATCTATGTGGTCTATTCCCACTACTTTTCCAGATGGTCCAACCTGTAGAATAAACACAGTAAATCATAATGATGATCTACAAAAAGAAATTAGCAAATACATATACATTTTGTCTGGCAAAACAGTTGAAATATAATATGGTGTTAATTGGTTTCTTAATTGAATGGCATGGTGGCTCAGTGGGTATCAATGTTGCTTTACAGTAAGAAGGTCACTGGTTTGACCAGTTGGCATTTATATGTGTAGTTTGCATGTTCTTTCCGTGTTTCTGTGGGTGTCCTCCCGATGCTCCAGTTTTACACCACAGTCCAAAGACATTGAATAAACTAAATTGGCCGTAGTGTATAAGTGCATGTGTGAATGTAGGAATGTATGAGTGTTTTTGTTTTGAGTGAATGGCTTATATTAAAGCCATTGTAATTGTAAAACAATTACAATGGCTATAATATAATCTATAAATGTTTTAGAGAAGTCACCTACAATGTATAATAAATGTTTCTACACCAAAAATCTGTCAAGAACAATTAGAACAATCATGTGTTTTACATAAATCTATCTGTTACACTGAATGGTAAACATGGTTTGAAACAAAAAGTAGACTCTTTAACTGCATTTAATAAGCTTAATATGCAGATAAAAGAGCTAGTAAATTTAGTGTGGACCACAAATTTGACCAAACGTATATAATGATCATTATTGATTATAATTTAGTAATTTATCACTAAAAACAAGATGGAATAAGATCATACTTCGTTTTTTAATACAGATATATTTGTGTCTTGAAAAAATAGCAACATTTGGAATTACTGTTAATTCGAAAGTAGTACTGTATTTTCATATTTTTAGGATTTTCAGGAACTTGAATATTTGTTTTTCTTTATTTTAAATCCTACAGTGTCTTCAAAACTGAAGATGAGGTGATTATTTCGAACAGCTGTTTATCCTAAAATAAGGGTTCATAAGGCAGCTACTCTGCATGTGTTCAAAACCAAAAGAAACACATTTTCAATAAGGAAAACATTGTTCAATAAGAAAAACGATGATCAAAAAGGTAAATGATGATCAATAAGGAAAATATGTTTACCAAAAATGTACCACAATCATGCTGCACTGCTTGCTACAACCTTAAATAACTATTTTGCACAATGTAAAACTTTAAATACCTCTTTTGCACAATATTCACCTTTAATACCTCTCTTGAACAATATCCTGCACAAATTGTATAGTTGGGTATCTTATAGTACAGGTGTGTCCAAACTCGGTCCTGGAGGGCCGGTGTCTTGCAGATTTTAGGTCCAACTTGCATTAACACACCTGCAAGAATGTTTCTAGAACGCTTGATGAGCTAGCCCATGATTAGGGTTGGAACTAAACTTTGCAAGACACCGGCCCCCCAGAACTGAGTTTGGGCACCTCTACTATAGTATATATATTTTTAAATACGTGTTTTTTTTATTTTTATGAATGATTCATTTATGTAGCACTGTTGTCCTGCGAGACACAGCATTCGCTGCTCTGTATGTTCACACATGGAGCAGAATGAAAATAAAGCTTGACTTGACTTGACTTGAAAGTTGAATGACCCAAAACTCTGTTAATAAACATATTTTGAAATCAAAACTCACCATTCTGGCAAAGCAGGCAGTGAGATATCCACTTCCAGACCCCACATCCAGCGCTGAGGCTCCTTCTGTTAACTTATCACTGAGGACCTCAAGAGCATGTGCATGCTACACAACAAACCATTCATTGTAATGCATAATAATTGACAATAACATCTATTTTTACATGTGTTTTTCTGACCTACCATATGAGGGGCACTGATTGTAGCCTTGTATCCTTTGCACAAAACAAAACAAAAAGTTGTTTAAATGAAAAATGGTCGTGCACTCGTTTCAGTTTGCTTCAAGCAGTCAAAGCAATATGTTTGCTGAAATAAGAAAGTCACCTATGGACTGAGGAGAGTCAGCGTACGGGTGGTCTCTGGAATAAATCCCTCGATCAGTGGCAAGCATGGCATTAAACACTCTGTCGTTGTGAATGACTCCATGATCTGTCACAGAAAGACACATTAAACTGTATGGGACTCCAGGAAATGGCATCAAATTTGTGTGTTGACATGTACAATTGCTTTCTGTGTTTACTATCAACACTACTGGTCAAAAACAAGAAAAAAAATCTACTTTTTTTGAAAGAAATTCACCAAGGCAGCATTTATTTGATCAAAAATAGTGTATAAACTGTAATACTACAACATATTATAGAAATGAGTGGTTTTCTATGCGAGTATATTTTTTAATTTTATTTATTTTTATGATTTAAGTCTAACACTTTATTTTGATGGTCCATTTGAGTATTAGTAGACTGTCTGCTTAATATCTGCTGATACTGCTCCTTCAACAGCTATTTAACTGACAATAAGAAACTTTGCAAGTACATGTCAACTTACACTTACCCCAACCTAACAGTCTACTTATAATCTAATGAGAATTAGCTGGCATGTAGATGTAATGTAACCTAAATTCAACAAACAGACCATCAAATTAAAGTGTGACCGATTTAAACAGCAATTCCAGATTTCATCAGTTTATAAAGCACTAAATCATCATTTCATAATAACACAGAAAGCAGTTATTTAACACGTAAATATTTAAGTTACTGCTGTTTAATCAAATAAATGCAGCTATAATTAATTACATTAACAGAAATCTTGCAGAAAAACAAGTATTTATCTACATACTGTATATCTCTATATATTTTCTTACCTCTCAAGCGAGTGATGAGTTCTACATGTGTTTTGCCACTAGACATCCATGCCATGGTTCTGGAGAGCAGCAAACCCATAGGGACCGCTACTGCCGCCAGCCTGAGGACAGACTGCATTGCCTAATAAGCACAGCCTGCAACAAGAAATTACATTCTGATTTCACGATCAGTCCACAAGAACAACTGCCACGTTTGGCCAGGATGTAAATTCACTCTAACATACACCTGACAAAAGTTATTATTTCATGAGAAAAACTAATTGGATATAGATATGTTTTATATATACAGCTATATTTAATATTCTATAAAAAAGAATATTAAGATTATTTTTGAAATAATATAAAAGTGCCTGTTTTCACACATAATATTTAGACATTAGAAATGTTTTATGTAGTGTTCAAATAAGCCTGATTTTAAAAACTCAACAAACTATAACATTTGTTATTCTTGTCAAATGTTATAAGCTAAAGGTGGGAAAGGCTCTAAATCAGAAATTCCCAAACTAGGGTCTGCGACCCAAAGTTGGCCCAGGGTAACCTTTGATTCGGCCCGCCAACCAATCAGATAGGGAAGGTTTGGGTGAATCCCTCAACAAGGGATCGTCATTTCTAATTAAATATAACCTTTTGTTTGTTTGTATGTCTGTTTAATTGCTGAGCTACAAAAAAGCAAAACTGAAATTAAATTTTTCAATTAAATGTTGTGAATTAATCAGTGTTTTAAAGAGTTTTTCTTTCTTTTTTTGCCATTTTGTTGACAGATATGTGTGGCACGTTGCTAAAAACCCTATTAGGACACATTTATTCAACTATCAAGTAAAAAAAAAACGTTGAACTCTGTTATAAATTACATTGTAAGAAGTAAATTATAACATGTAAAAAATATATGAATAATAATACGATTAAAGTTTTTTATTTATATTTTTAAATATTATTAAATTGGAATGTTACCATGGCAACTTCAATGTAATACAGTTTGGTATATTTAGCTTCTGCCCACCACCATCAATCAAGTTTAGTTTTTGGCCCTTCATAAGAAAAGTTTGGGCACCCCTGATATAAATATTAACATTGTATTCAAACACATTCCTAATAAATCCAGTAAATCCAATTAATTCAATTGACATTTTTCAATAGCTTTATGAATGTTTGTGTATAGTGTGTATGATATAACGTTACACTTCGTAGTCTTCAAAGCCTAAAATTAAGCCAGCAGCAGGCTTGCTACTTTTTAATTCTTTATTTAGGATGGTACATAAGTTTTTGTGCAAAATAAATTTCATAATTCAATCTTTACAGTGTTTGTTCGACTCATTAGAATAGTTTTAATATCTGAATCTACCTGCTGTCGGACCTCAGACCGCTGATGCGTCCAACATGAGTCCTTGATTCAGGTCAACAAACGTGAGAATCGGACCTAAATATTGCACGCCCTACATCAAATAGAGAGCGAAATAAGAAAGCGTTAACGTTACTGTATACGCAACAAACTGGGCTTTACGTTAGACGCAGTTTTCTCAACGCATGACTAAAACGTCAAACGTAAAACGTACAAATTAATATTACGCAGCGCATTGAGAACAAGATTGAATAAGACTGTTTTAAAATGGTAGCAAAGGCAAGCTATGTTACTATAAGCCAAAAGTACGTAACTGTCAGAGCGGAGCAAAAATCTTACTCGTAAATTTCGACCCGATGTCAACGTGCTGAAGGAGTAGACGGAAGTCGAGTTTCCAAACACATCACTTGGACCAATCACATTCAAGGAAATTCTGACTGACAGGCGTAACAGCCAGTGCGATTCGGTAGGTAATCCCTGCCGGTTACGTGCATCTCAGCAGCAAAAGCAGAAGGATGGGTTTTACATGCTAATGCTTGTATTTATTTATCCTTTTAATATATGATATTAGGTCTGAGGTGTACCGAGAGCATCGTAGTTTAAGGTAAGCACCACTGTTTTGGTTTTACGACTGGTAATTGTATACAGCTTCATTAAATGTACTTGTAGGAGAGCTAGTATGTCAACAATCGGTTTGATAACGTTACATTGGCATGTAAACAATCAGCCAATGACATTTTACATGTATTCATAGAATATCCTAACTGGCATGTGTTTTTAAGGTTTTAAATCCACTAATTTTAATTTCCATGTTTTTATTACGCGTGTAAACAGCAAACTTTTAATAAAAGCATTCTCCATTAAATTTGTGCTTTAATAATCAGGATAATCATGATGATTGACGACTTCGAAACCCACGCGGCCCGATCTAGCGGTGATCTGTGGTCAGAGGTCTGCTCCAGTCTGCCAGAGCCTCGGGAACAGCATGGAGGACAGTTCACAGACTCATTTGAGCCTTCCTCTCCTGGCGACCCTCACACAGACTCCCCCAGAGCTGCTAACTTTAGCCCATGGGAACCAATGGCTGACTCTGAGGTTTACATTGCTGGTTTAGGTACAGGAGATTAAATATGATTACTCTGTATTTAATATATGGCCTGTTGAATTGTTTGTAAGTGCATGGTACCCTGCTACTTCACAGAAAATCGACTGAAGAGAATCAAGGGACAGACAAGTGAAGTAACATCAAGGGAAATGTTGCGTTCTTTGTCCCAGGCTAAAAAGGAGTGCTGGGATCGATTCCTTCATGATGCCCAAACCTCAGAACTATTCCAGGAGGGAAACTTTGATCAGAGGTTAGTATAGAGATTTTAGAAATGCCAGTCTCGTTGAAACAACACACACACACAGACAGACAGCTAGACTGGAAGTTCTGTATTGGGAAACTCTAATATGTGGCCTGACATAAACTAAGGTATGGTGCTAAAATTGACAATAGGAAACTGTCTTAATGAATGAATCATTGGATCAAATGATTAGTTCTGCAGTGTTGCTCAGAGATGCACAGTTTGGATTTTTAAATTTTTACTTATTTAATCAGGAATGTCCCATTGAGATGCGTTTATCTTAAGCATAAGACAAAGTTAAAAAAAATAATACATACAAAGACAATAGAAAACAGATTTTTTTTTTAAACATAGCTGGTACAGATGCCATCTTTGGTACATTTTCAAATTCATTCCATATACATGGAGATTAATTAGAAAATGCAGATCGACCAAACTGCATGAAAAAAAGTAAACAGACAATATTGTGTCTTAATTGCAGCTTACTCAATATTGATCTCTTGTTGAACTTGTATAAATCAATATAACAATTTGATTGCTCTCATAATTCGTACAGTAGAAATTCTATATTTGTCTTATATTATTGATTTACATTTGATTAATCAATTTCTGTAGTATATCTTTTACCTGAATGCTGTCACTGCTCTGCAGAAGTGACTTCTAAAATTGCTTTCATATCCTTTTTTTTTTTTTTTTTTACTAATAAGTAAACTGTTAATTTAAACTAATAATAATAATAATATTTTTTTCAATATTACTGTTTTACTAAAATTTTGATCAAATTAATACCTGGGCATTTAAAAAAAACATTTTAATCAACCATCAATACAGAAAAGTATAAATAAAGATGCCATTAATTGGAAAAAAGGCATACATTTATAGAATAATTATGCAATGTTGACTATAGCCTTTGCATATTTATACTCCTAAAATACTGACATTTATCTGGCCATTCTTCCATACCAGTGAGTTTCAGCATTACATTGTAGCGTGTCAGGGGAAGGTCAGAACTCTTGGCCAATCTAAACACTAAATTTGTTCTGCCTGAACTAGGTTTACTCTTGGATTGTGTCTGTCCCCCACATCACCGATAACAAGTGTGCAAATGTGCTGCTAGCCAGATAAGATGCCCACTCTGGTGAGAGTAGCAAATTTTGATGATAGTCTAAAATCATTTTACAATCTTTTGTGACATGTGGTCCATGGAATCCTATTTTTGCAATGGGATAAAAAGGAATAAAAACTCACATTCTGTTTTTAATCTAATGGCACAATATATAGAATTTTTTGTTTATTAAAATATCCTAAAATCATTAAAGCAGTGTTCTATATTTTTCTGATTATGTACATTATGCAAAAAGTTTCAAAAATTGCTAAAATCCAGAGAAACAAGCAATTTTTTAATGGTAAGGATGTCATACATCCTTAATTTCCATTTTGGTTTTATTGAAAACAGGGAAATGCCAAATATGCAAAGATCAGACTGCAAAGTGCAGAATTATGATAGGACCCTAAAATGTATTAAGTGTGATATAACAGCACTGCTTCTTCCCCATGTGTTCATGAGTAGAAGAACTAAAATTGGTGTTTTGTGGCATAATAAAAGCTCTGCTGCTTTTGTGCCGTGCCGTATTCGTCTCTCATCAGCATTTGCTTAAATGGCCTTGTTTACTTCAATGGCTTTCAGTCTTACTCTGTTTAAGAATTAAACAGAGTAAGACTGAATTAATATGAATTTTAATGAATTAATATGATTTCTGCAGGAGACTCATTGAAGACCACGATTCCACACTCAGTCACGGCATCAGCAAACTGTCTTTGTTTGTTGTGAATACAGTATACTGTGCATTTAAATATCAGAGAACAGATATTTTCTTCTTTGATTTGCCAATTTTTATCTTTAAATTCTGAATAAGCATCTTGCAGTGTTTTTTTATTTTTATAAGTGTTTTTTTATATTTGTGATATCTTGCAATTTTGAGATCTTATTTATATAAGTATATATTTTCCCAAAAAGGAAAGAAATATTAACATACTCTTGCTGTGTGGCAGTTTCATTACATTAAGTCATTTAGTAGACAATTTTGTCCAAAGCTACTTAAAAATCAAGAAGATATTAAGCGACTCAACACGAATATACACATGATACTTGATATATTGATACTGCTAAACAGAATAAGCTTGGAAACGTTTTTTTCATGATGTGATTAAATGCATTTTCAATTGGCATTTGCATGATACCAGTAATACCAGTGATTCAGCAATCCTTGTGGGATTGGGAAAATCTTTCTACCAGTGAGGAACTGTGAATAAAAATGTCCTGGAAAATAATTTAGAGCCGTTCTGTGATGATAACAGGAGATGACACTCGCTTACTTACCTGGAGGGGTATAGACTTGCAGAAGCAGGTGGAGGTGAGAGGGGTGCAGTGCCAGTGGCTGTTCTTTTAGTAAGCATCAATGATTTAAACTTGTTGCAAGCTTTGACCAGTTGCCAGTGCAGGGGAATAAAGAGATGTGTGACTTTTGCTCAATGAAGACCAGACAATCTGCAGCTTCATGAATCATTTGTAGAGGTTGAAGGGTGTAAGATAGGAGAGCAAGCCAGAAGAGCATTACAATAGTCCAGCCTGGAAATCACAGGAGCTTGGACCAGAAGTTATGCTGCATGCTGAGTCAGGAACGGTCTTATCCTTCTTATGTTAAAATAGTAAAAACCTTTATGATTGTGCTGCTGTGTTAGCAGTGTGGTCCTTGAAGAATAGCTGGTCATCAAAGATCACCCCAAGATTCCTCACCAAATTAGATATTTGTTTAAAAAAAATGTAGAATTTTAGAATGAACATCTCTGGCCCTTGATCCTGTACAATAGCCTCTTCCGTGCATTAGGTATTTCAGCAAAACTAAAAGCTATTCATTTATTTTGTAAAGTAAGACCATTTCTAGTTATTGGCCTGTTAAGAAAATAAATTTTAGTTGATTAAATTATGGATTTCTTTCATTTTCACATTTATCAATCTATGTGTCAACACATCATATCAGTTTCCTTATTTAAGGTTTAGTACTGCAAAATGTAGTACTGCATATTTATGGAGGTGAATCAATCATGCTTCTGAACTAGTCAAAAGAACTATAAAAGACAGAAAAAAGTATTGATGGGAGAAACAAACTGAACCAACAGAACAGTTCGCTGTGTTAACCATTGGAAACAGCACATGCTAGTGACACCTGGTGGTCCAAATAAAATAAATGCAACAAACTCTGAAAACATGAAGGAAAATTAGCTTTTTCAAACACATTTCTAATAATTAAATGTATGCAGTCAGCTTTTCCAATATGTGAATGCACATCTTTTATACATTTTTAAAAGATTTTTTTATTGTTTGTTCCATATGCCTTTGTCTCATTAAGGGGGACCTATTACGCGAAAATCACTTTTATAAGGGGTTTCAACACAGTTGTGGGGCAACAGTGTGCGAATATATCCATCTCTTTGTACACTTCATTAGAGGCCCATTAGTGATGATTTCTCTCTCATTAGCAAAAACAGCTCTGAGTGAGAAGTAGCCACCGGCCATTAACATTTTTTTACTCTATTACCTCAATCTGCCCTGCCAAGGGTGTGCTTATGTGTTCATGTTTAAGTGCTAGTCTGATTTCATCTTGCTGTTTATAGATGTTTAATAGTCCTAGTCTTCATGTTGTTTGTGTGTATTCTGCATTACAACTATCAACTTCCGTGCCTTGTTTTTCTTGGGAACTAATGGGGTTGAAACCAAAGTTTATTGGACCGTATAGCTTTGGAACTTTCTCAAGTGGTGGACCTAAATTTTTAATAGGTTGCTGCCAAACCGCACCATAGCTCAATACCATAAAGTTGACCTGATTTCAACCCCTCTTGATGCTCAAACCATCCTAAACGTGTTGTGACGCTTTCGCCAGAGCATGAAGCTGGCTTCTATTGACAATGATTGACTTCCAGCTACATTGATGCTCTCGCCGATGGCGGTTAGAGTTTTCACTGTAAATGCTAAAGATAATGCCAGCGACTAAGAGGCGTTATATATAGGGTTTTATGGCCCATTTCTCCTGAGTGGTGCGGAATAGGTCGGTGCATTTTATGGCCGTTTCCACTGTCAAAACGTACCAAAAAGCGAACTGTACCACACCACTTTTTGGGTACCCCTTCTAAAGGTTACCTAACATGACAACTGGGTACCAAAAGGCGGAGCTCATGCACAAGCCAGGAGAATGAAAACAAAACAGCCTTTTAAAAATACACAGCTGAGACGTCACACCAAAAGTAGAATCTGTCCTGTGTCCTGTTGTTGTTTACAAGGCCGTCTAAACTGTGAGTGGTTTCACTTTCTCAAGAGAGCGTGCGTGCTTGTCTATATTTCACGTGCACGTGATTATTGAAGTGCTTCTCACATCCGATCCTTTCTGAGACTGAAGGAAAAGACCGGAAAAAAAACAAACAAACATGATTCTTTCAGCAGCCTAAAAAATTAACTAACTGCATCTATAATCAAATTTAACTATAATCATCACCATTTGGACTATTATGAACTCTGAATGCCGGACTTACTTTCTAACAGAGCTTACATGTGCTGGTGAAGATTACAGATACTGATGAGAGGTTTGCATGTTGTTTTTGAACCCAAAGAAGGACTAAATGTTTGCTGTGTGTAGTTTTTCTGTAATTGGTAACATATCAGAGACTGTAAGAGGCTGTGTATTCATACATGTTGCATTTATTTATTTATTTTATATAATCGCAGACGTTACAGGAGGCTATTTCGCACTATCATTGTAGAAAGGTTAGTAATGAACATTTATAAACAAGTATTTGTGTGTAAAGAATCTGTTTTGTGAGAAGTGCTTCTCATACGATTTGTGAACAACCTGTAAAGCTTTACTTTGACATTTCCTCGAGCGAGAATGACGTCGACTGCAGCTTTGTCATACACCACACCCACCTTAAGGGTACCATTGGCAGTGAAGACACAAGCCTGATAAAGGTGACCAGTACCAAACCATACTCTGCCACTTAGTGGAAACGGGCCGTCAAGAAGCACAAATGATAGATGGCTTTCTTCTGAACCACTTCTTTTCAGTGATAATGTTAGTCCTGTTTTAAATCTGCCACTATGCTGACCTATAGACATTTGTAGCTCCGCCCTCATCTCATTTGAATTTAAAGCGACAATCACCAAAAATAATTAAATGTGGAGAATTTAGGCTGAAACTTTACATACACACTTAAGGATATCAAAGACTTATTTTACAAATAATAAAAAGAATTGGGGCATAATAGGTCCCCTTTAAAACATCTACAAGCTACTAAATGATTCCCCACTGGGGGCAATCAGTGAATTCCATGATTCATGTGGATTTTATGGTATTATACGAATCCTTCCAATAAAGAAATAATTAATTCTTGAAAGGTTTTGAAATTGACTATGCCAATTTGATATGCACTTCAAACCACTTTTTTGAAAAACAAAAGATTTTTACTACGATTCAAAGCTTCATAAAGCACCGAAAAAAGCAGACATCATTAAGAGACTGTGTTAATACAATGTGTTAAAAATGATATGACAAAGCACATAAGAACAGTTCCTGTCTGTGATTATGTTGAATAAATGGTCTGCGTGTAATTATTCTGTCTTGGTATTCTTGTAGTGCTTTGGAGCAGTTCAAGCGCTGGCTGTCTCCTGAAAGAGTGGCCATCAATGCAGAAGAGCTGGAGTACCTTCTCCTGCCCACACAGAACAGCGAGACCCCTGCCAGCTCCAGCCAAACTGACAAACCCTGTGTGGAGGAGGAGGAAGAGTGCCCGAGTCCAGAGAAATAATGACCATATCACAGCACAACCTGTATGCTGACCAGCAGTACAAGCGCATATTGTGATCCATTTAATGGGATAATATGTTTTACAGAAATAAATTAAGCTGGTGCTCGATTCAAGATGAATTATTGTACACATTTTTGTTGGTATATGAATAGATCAAATCTCTTTATTGGAGATATTATGCTTGCCAAGTAACATATTGTGTGGATGGAGGAAGCCAGTTTGTTATGAGAAAGTATGTGTATAAACAACATCACTACGTCATCATGTAACATTCCATGTATGTATCATCTGATGCATTTCTGTATGTGTTGATTTTTCTCCCGCCTGTAGTATTAAAGGTGATGCTGTTATAAGCTAAACGGTGCATCCATGAAGACAGGATTTCATTCAAACATTAGTAGAGATCGTTAAGTGTAACATACTTCATGTCTTTAATGATGTTAGCAACTGTACACTTTATTCTGAGAAGATAATAAAATGACGAAGGAACCATAATGAGATTCTTGTGTGACCTTTGTAGTGGTGCATACTGATTTTTTTTTGCCCAGCAGTAACCAATAGATGTCAGTATTGTTGAATATGGATGAGACATCACTTCAGGGCATTCCAATCATTATATTGTTCAAGCATCATTGCTTTGTTCCACACCGGCTGATTTAATTCTATAAAAAAAAAAAAAAGAGTTATTTGTATTATATCTGAAAATGTTATATAATATATATATATATATGGCCTGACTTCTTTGTTTTCTTGACGTTTTATTGATCAGGTTTTCTGTAAACCTGCTTGGAATTTCCTCCACAGGAGTTGTTTTGTGTTTACAATATTGTGAACAAAGATTGGTCATTATGGATGCTGAGAAAATACAACAGACCAATGCTTTGTTGAACTTTTTTCAGCATTCGATTGATTTGTTTTGAGGAGTTTTCACATTACTGTAATGACTTTATGTTTGCGTCTCTAAACTTGCGAATATGTTAGAGGTTAGATGTGATTGATTCATAGAAACCTATAGTGGACAAAAAAGAATGAAGAACATTTTGCTAACTTTCCATTTTATTATCAAAACATTCTCTGACTGTGTAAAACATCCTTTTTAAAAATGTTTTTAAACTTATTTTCTTGGCTATAAAACATTGAGGAAACATTATAGGAAAGTTACTTTTGATTTTTTTGTTAACATTTCATAATCACAAGTGATAATATTTTTAGACAAATGTGCAGCTAAATGTTTAAAAAGAAAAACGTGTTATGAACGATGTTAAACTAATGGTTTTAAAACTATTAGAGGCCACATAACTTTGCAAAAATGTTACTGGATGAGTGTTTGTTCAAACTAAGGAAGAATCTTGCAAGAACATTCAGAGAATAGTTCTTGGAAATGAAAAACAAGTTGTAAAAGCATTGTGCTAATATTTATAAATATCCATGATATCACATACATATATAGTTAAAGTCAAAACTATTAGCCCCTCATTGAATTTTTTTCCTCTTTTTAAATATTTCCTAAATGATGTTTAACAGAGCAAGGAAATTTTCACAGTATGTCTGATAATATGTTTTATTCTGGAGAAAGTCTTATTTGTTTTTATTTTGGCTAGAATATAAGCAGTTTTAACTTTTTTTTATAAACCATTTTAAGATCAAAATTATTAACCCCTTAAAGCTATTTTCTTTTCTCGGTACAGAACAATCGTTATACAATAACTTGCCTAATTACCCTATCCTGCCTAGTTAACCTAATTAACCTAGGTAAGCCTTTAAATGTCACTTTAAGCTGTATAGAAGTGTCTTAAGAAATATAGTAAAATCTAAGTCATCATGGCAAAGATGAAATAAATCAGTTATTAGAAATGAGTCATTAAAACTATTGTTTAGAAATGTGCTAAAAAATCTTCCATTAAACAGAAATTTATATGTGTGTGTGTGTGTGTGTGTGTGTGTGTGTGTGTGTGTATTAAATGTTACAAAAATCATTAAATATTTATTTATTAAATATTTATTTCTTACTTATTGTATGTAGTTTCAATTTAAATTATTACTACAGTCATTATTGTTTTTATTACTATTTGCATGATTATTAATAGCAATAATTATTATTATTATTATTAATATTAATGTTATAGTGATTTCTGAAGAATCATGAGACTGAAGACTGGAGTGATGAAGCTTAAATTCATCTTTAAAATCACTGAAATAAATTATTAAATTACAGAACAGTTATTTTATTGTGCAATAACATTTTACAATTTTATAATGTAGTTTTGATTAAATAAATGCAGCTTTGGTGAGCACGATAAGCTTATTTTAAAAATATTTAAAAGTCCTACTGACTTGGGTTAAAAAGGTACAGAAAAAAATATATTGAAACCATTAACCCAGTTTCTGTGTGGAGTTTGCATGTTCTCTCTGTGTTGGCGTGGGTTTCCAGCGGGTGCTCCGGTTTCCCCCACAGTCCTATACATGCGTTATAGGTAAATTGGGTAGGCTAAATTGTCCGTAGTGGATGTGAATGGGTGTGTCTGGGTGTTTCCCAGTGATCGGTTGCAGCTGAAAGGGCGCTGCGTGAAATATATGCTGGACAAGTTGGTGGTTACTAAGCCGAAAAGAAAATGAATGATCAGTTACTCATGTCCATATCTGGCCAAATGTTGGGTTAATACAACCCAGCATTCTTTGAAGTGTAAATATTTATAGATAAAATGTTTCAGGGGAAACATTTTAATGTTGTTAAAGACCACATTCTTCTGTAAGTATTATGCTTCATGAATATTGGCTCCTGCACGTGTGTTCATAACTTTGAGAGAATCTGCAAGAATGTTCTGGAATGTTTCCAGATATAAATGGGATCGCGCCATATGCGTTCAATTATCACTACAACCAAAAAAGGCGAAGTGTAAGTCCAGTAGGTTTTAGTTTAACTTGTTTTTATTTTACATAATGTTAAATGTAATTAAATGCGCCCTCTGAATAATTATAACTTAATGAAGGCTATTTAAAATGATTCCTCTTTTTTACATTCAATTTATTAATATATGTATTGCTTAGATATGTACACGTGTCATAGGAGAAGGTCTGCAAAATCGCATTTCGAACAGACAAAGCAATCTGTTTCATATCATTATACAAGTAGGCTGGTCGTTCACGTGTGCGCACTGCCGTGTGTTGGGGATCTCCGGTCAGCAGCGCGCGCTCTTGTCGGCGATCTTCGCGCTGGATGGACACGAGTTGTGAAGCTTTCATTCGGGAAATTAACAGCGGGTCTTATTTAATCACGGCAATATATTTACGCGACACGTGAAGAAGTGTCACCTATATATTCATTTAGAAGTGCTTTTGGATCATGCATCCTCCACTGAAGAAGTGACCAAGAGGACAAAGGTGGGCAAAATATCGTTTGCTTTGAAATAATGCAGTGTTTTGTAATAACATTTTAATTAGCAAGCTAATTTAATAGCACTGAGTCATATCGAAAAATTAGATATTTATACTGTAGAACAAAATAATCAGTAAATTTATTTGTAGCCTATAAAGATAACGAAAACAAGCCCATTGCAGATGTGCATTCACTGTAATTTGATGGATTTTAGATTAAACATTTCTTACACTGAAATAAAAACCCAAAGGTGTTTTTGTCCTGTACATTTCTTGCTTTTTAAAAGAGAAAATTAAGTCAAGTGAGACACTCATTACTCTTGAGATGTCTGGTTGCAGAACTGAATTGAATCTGTCTTTTAGGTGTGTGAGAGCTGGCTCCACCATTACAACTGTTAGATTACCTCTCTAGTGCTGCATGAGGAGAGAAGGATTTTAGTCATACAACTGCTGTGTAGAGGTGTGCTGCTGCTGTTCATACAGTCTCCCTGGATGCAGTGGATTAATCTGATGGTCCAACAAATCAGTCATTATATTGTCTTTGAAAGAAAAAAAAAACAGGCTCGCAGGATGTTCTCTTCATTTTAATGTTGGCCATTATTGTTCATTAATAATGGAGATCTCAATAATGCATCAGGTAAAACAATCAACAATGCCCATTAATCTTTTCTCTTTCTATTTAGACTAATTTTGTGCTATTATATTTGCTGCTCAATAGGGGGCATGTTGTCACAATTTTTAAGTAAACATTGACAAATTACATTTTGTTATTTGTCAAATTAGGACGCTTGTTCCCCCACTAAATGTAGGGTAATTGAATTTAGGTATAATTTTTTTAATCTCACATTTCTGCCTTTTAATCTAAGTTGCAATTATTGCACATATTTTAGAATTCTCACTTTTATCTTCAGAATTGCTCGTTTGTGTCTCAGACTCAGACGGAAATGTGAGACAGCCTTAACCCGCAACTGCAAGAAAAATGTAAGAATTGCAAAACAAGCTGTATATACATGAAGAAAAGTTGCAAATCCAACTTGAAATCGGAGGAATAAAAAGAATTTATACAAACTCAGAACTACTAACAATGAAGCCAAAAATAAGAAATAAAGCTTATAGTTGACTCATGGTCTAAATTCTTTTGTGTGTGTGTGTGTCAGAATGGTGTGAGAGCCTAAACTCACAACTACAAGAAAAAAACAATCATAACCGTGATCCAGTCAAAATTGTGAAATATTCAATTAAACAGATATTGTTTGTATTCATGAATATTAATTAGGGCAGGGTGAATAATTGAAATAAAAATTGCAAAGCTGTGAAAACTGTGACACACGTCAAGAAGAAACAATACAGGAAATCCAGCCTGATCTCACAAACAAATGTAACTATTTTACGTCAGCGTTACCTATAATTCTTATAAATTTATACACTGTAAAAATACTCGGTTCCACACAATTTAATCATGTTGTCCTAATGCAAACCTACTGAGGTAGCTGATTGTGTTTACAAATTTAAGTTAATTGAACATAAAACAATTAAGTCCCCCCAACCCCATTTCATTAAAAATTTTATTTCAAGTAATTTTAAATAAATAGTTTGAACAAGCAGCAAAAGTCATTTTTTTAATGGTTGGATTTCATTCATATGAAAATGTAAAATTTTTAAAAGGATGCTTGGCCCCAAACCTTTCCCCCCATAGGGGATGAGAAAATCTTGTTAAAATGTACAAATGACATTGTATAGATTCATATTAACTACTAAACAATGATACAGAAATTGCCCTACGATTGTGTTGGGAAATCCCCATAGTGTTGTGTTAAACAAAAATTTTTAACTGGATTCATTGATTCAGTGTGACTGATTGACAATAATGCCATTATTACATGGCCTTATCTGAAGGATTTAATTCAAACATTTCACTTAAGTTTGTAGCCGAAAGCAGCATTTCAATTTCATATTGTCTGAATAAACTGATTTCGATTTGAATGTGATTTTGCAAAGTTTGTCAGTGAACTATGACAAAATACCGCATGAAAATTGCCTTTGACTAATCACCAAGCCCTATCTATCTCACACAGCCATATCATCATGCTGCCCAAGACCATATACTCACATATTGTGAGGCCAGCAGGAAGTACTCAACCTGCGGTCTGTGTGAATCCTAATGCCCCAGTAAAGTGAAGGAGACACCATACTGTCAGTGAGCACCGTCTTTTGATTGAAACGTTAAACCGAGGTCCTGACTCTCTTTGGACTTTAAAAATCCTATAGCACTTCTTGTAAAGAGAACCACAGTGTCCTGACCAAATTCCCTCCATCAGCCCTTACCCATCATGGCCTCCCAATTATTCCCATCCACCGAATTGGCTCTATCACTGTCTCTCCCCTCCACCAATAACTGTGTGTGGTGATGGCACTGGCGTCATTGGCCTTTGGCTTCCGTCACATAATGCAAGTGGATGCTGCCCACTGTTGTTAGTGTGGAGAGACCCCCCTCATGATTGTGAAGCGCTTTGAATGTATGGCCATACATGATAAACGCGCTAAATAAATACTCATTTCTTACTAATATTAATGTAGAATTTCTATTTCACAGTTATGATGTATCTCACAAATCCTCTTCTTGTAAATGTGGAAAATAACTCAGAATTGTGAGTTAAAAAGGTAGCTTATTCTGCTACAATGCTAACAATAAGCTGTTATGCTACAAAGTGTTCAAATATGTGACATTATTGCCTTTGCTGAACAGAAACATTCTGTCTCAACAGCAAGTTCAGCGTGACTCATTGACTTCTTCCATTCACCCTTTACAGTGAACGCTTGTAACTCTGAACATCTAACAACTTGTAAGAGTCCTCGAACAGACAGAAGCCAAAACGTCTGCTGAAGTTGTTCAGTTCAAGCCAGCATTAAAGAGACTTCTTCTCCATAAGTACATATGAGTGGCCGTTAATGGAATTTTATTGCAAAGAGATAAAAGTGGATCCTCAGTGCTCTACAGCTTTTAGGAGATGAAGACTAGAGCGTTTCGCTATCTCTTATGCACAATCCAGCAATGATTACCCCGAATTTAAAAATAATAACATACAGTCCTGACCAGGCATCATTTCAAGACGTTATCTGTACATCTTCACTTTCATGAGGACAGAGAACACAGATTAAAGAGATTCTCTCGCTGTGATGTACACTGTGGTCTGTTCGGGTTACTTAAGTCTGTCCTTTATACTGAACACACAAACAAGTGAACCACAGTGGACATCCATTTCCAGGCCGGCGTATAGTGGTCTGTGCTGATATCAAAGGTCATTCAGATCTGAGGAAATACTAAAGCATCTTCATGAGAAAATGCCCAACCAATACATGAATTTGTTTTATTTCACTCCTGCTGAAACAGCGGTTCAAAACTGGGAGGTCATGACCTCAAAACTGGGTCAGAGGTCTGTTCTCACAAAATTCAGGGTCACAGAAAATACGACCCAGACTACATTGAAAAAGAGGGATGTGTACAAGGCTGACCACGTGTTTGGTGTGGTGAGTTTTGTTAGTATGAAATCTATTTATTCCGATTATATCATTGAGCAATACGCACAAGAGTTAATATTCATTGTAGTAATTGTAATATTTTAATATAGAAATATTTATTTGTTAATTGTGACGTGAGGTGAAGTGGCTTCCAGGTCCAGGTCCTCTATTAAACTGCATGGGAGACTCAACAAATGGTAATAATGAATGTTTACAAAGCATTGTAATACTTTCAAAAATCACGATCGCAATATATCCATGCGTAATATCTAATGGCCAGAAAGTGATAAATTTTTTTTGATTGTTAAAATATTGGTGTCTGTGAAGCAGCAAGTCCAGAGACTGTTATGTACACCATGATTTTTATATAAAATTCACTGTAAAACCTTAGGTCACAATTCATGCTATTAACTACTGGCTTGTTACCGGTCTATTAATAAAATATTAGCTGTTCATTAGTGGTTATAAAATATGATCTCATTCTGCATTCCTAATATTTTCCAAATTATGGGTCATTCTTTAATTACGGGCACTTTTATGTCCTTTGATTATATATATACATATACAAATTTGTTCAAATTGCTCTTTCCATGTCAAATTTATAATAAAATTTCCTTTTAAAAAATGTAATCCCTTTCTATTATATATATTTTTCATATATTCAACCTCCTTTTAGGTGTCAAAATCACTGTTTAAGCACCTTGTTGAGTTTTAAACTTCAATAATGTAAATAACATTTTAAAATATTATTTATCCGGTAACTATTAATGAATCCTAATTAAGCACTAAGGAAATATGGAATCTGAGGGTATAAATCTTGAAATATGGAATGTGAGCGTTTAAAAAAATCTACATAGAACACCTCTGACAGATCTACCTTTTTAATAAATACTTTCTCTGGAATGCGATATAATTAGATATGTGTATATTTACACATCAAACTAGTCAGCATCAAAGCCTAAACTAATTTAGTAAAATAACAGAGATCATAGAGCAAAATGAGTACATCTGAATGAAAATATAATAATATAGTAAAAATATTAAATAACATTTTAATAGAGGAAAAAAAAACTTAAAATATTAAATCTAGATAAAAATTTGTAATTGTAATTTTTAAAATTTAAATTCACATGTATTCCTAAAGATGTTAGGTGAATTTTATTTTAAATGTTATCTTTTAAAATGAATATAGCTGTTTAAAGTTCCTGTGAATTGCTTTGAAGTGTGCATTTTTATACGATATTTGACTAATCTTTACCGAAACATGAAGAGAGGGTGGGTCAGTGTAGCTCCTCCCTTTTTTAAAAACAGCCAATAGCATTTTGTCTTATCACACCTCTGCCAGTGAGAGTCAATGAGCTCAAGGGCATCAAATGAAAAGCAAATGAGAAGCATCTAGGAGGCAGGACATGTCAGATTTTAGAGAGCATTTGATTGGTCAATATTTAATGAGAGACTGTGTGTATGTATTTAATTTCACGGAACCAATTTGCTTAAATACACCAAAATCACATTGTTTATATTAACTAAGAAATGTATCCAATGAGTCATTTTCATCAACGCAATAGCCTATAGTGACCTGACATATGGTGCGGTAGCACTTCGGGGCGCCCGAGTTCGAATCCCTGCTCAAAGACATTTCTCGACCCTACATCCCTTTCTCTCTTCCACTTTGTTGATGATCACTGTCTGATTACTGTCCTTGCTAATAATAATAATATAAAATTTTATTCAGAGTGCGCTTTTGAAACAAAGTGATCCCTGAAAAGGAACATAAATAACGAGAGGAAGACACTGTAGATATCAGATTGCATATATAATCAGGAGCAGAACCATGAACTGATTTATAAGGTAATGTCAAGGTTTTAAAAGCGATGTGTGACTTAAGAGGCAACCAATGTAACTGTTGGAGTATAGGGCTAAAGTATGAATGCGATGATGTATGAATTAACACACATGCGGCAGAGTTTTGAACATATTGTAAAATCTTAAGTAAATTGGCTTGTAGACCCTCAAATAAAGAGTTGCAAAAATCTAAACAACAGGTAATAAAAGCATGGACAAGCCTTTCAGCGTCTGGTGTTGAGAGAAAAAGAAGGATGTGGACAATGTTCCGTAAGTGATAAAATGCGTTTTTAAAATGAGGTTTCAGGCTAAGTTGAGCATCAAAAAGAAAACAGATAATAAAGGCATAAAGGCCAAAAATAAATCTTTAAAAAATATTCATTTTCCAAGGCTGTACTCATTTATGCTGAGTATAAATATATCAGTAAAACATTACTGAAATAGATGACATTTCTGCAGCCATTACTCCAGTCTTTAGAATCTAATCCATTAATGCTATTAAATAATCAAGCTACTCATTTTCTTAATTCTAACCACACAAAAAGAGCTACTGTGCACATTAAACAAATATTCACTTTCTAGTGACATGCTACATTTCTGTTTACAGCGTTTACATTTATCTCAAACAGGTGTCTGTTTATTGTCACTGCACCATGGCGGACATGGACGACCTCCACAACGAATCCCGGAGAAACATCTCTCTAGATTTATCCTCCTCATCCTTCACCGGACTCCAGCTGCTGATGGATCTGAAGCCACTCTTCATTCCACTGTACACCATGCTCGTCCTGATCGCCTGCTCTGGAAACCTGCTCCTCCTCATCCTCATCGGCCTTAACAAGAAACTCCACAGCACCACAAACTTCCTCATTGGAAACCTGGCCCTGGTCGACCTGGTCATGTGCCTGTTTTGTGTCCCCCTGACAGCGTTTTACGCCTTTGATGAGCGCGGCTGGGTGTTTGGCCAGTTTATGTGTCACTTTGTTACTTTGATGCAAACTGCGACTGTATTCGCTGCAGTCCTTTCGTTGACCGCCATTGCCGTGGACCGATATGTAGTGGTTGCCTACCCAATTCGGCGGCGTGGAGGTCGTTGGTTTTGCGGATGGCTGGTGGTTAGCATTTGGCTCTGTGCACTAGCGATGTCAACTCCCACCGCTTTACACACAGTCTACTTGGATCTCAGTGAAACAGGCCATGAAATGGCGGTCTGTGAGGAGTTCTGGCATGGTCAAGAGCTCAGTCGTCTGATATACTCTTGTTTTTTCCTGCTTCTGTCTTATTTTGTTCCTCTGGCTGCAGTTTCCATATCCTACTGTGCCATCTCGTGCCACCTGCAGCACAGAGCTACACCTCGCCTCATGGCAGCTACACCTTCCAACCAGGAGAAATGGGGACGCAAGAGGCGGAAGACATTTCGCCTGCTGCTGGTGTCTGTTCTGTCGTTTGCCTTCTCCTGGCTCCCACTGCAAATAGTGAACCTCATTCGGGATCTGGACACCGACTTCGCCATCCTGAGCAAGAATCACGTCAATGTGATCCAGGTGTCGTGCCACTTGCTGGCCATGAGCTCGGCTTGCTACAATCCTTTCATTTATGCTTCACTGCACAAAAAGTTCCTGTCATATCTGTGCCACAACATGTTTCAAAAACGAAAAGCTCACTGCACGCAGAGCAGCATCACCACCTCCAGCCGAATGACTCGCTTGAACACTTGCAGCACTCTGGCTGACATTCCCATGGCCATTAGTAAGACTTCACAGGATTGAGACTTTTTTCTCTCCTCCTCTCAGATGTTTGAGAGTGATCAGCCTGAGACTGATCAGAACTGATTTGTTAAAGCAGTGGCGTTTTGACAAATGCTATAAAGTGAAAAGCATTTTTATCTGCTTGAACGTTAAACCTTTGAAACTAATTTAAGGATCAGTCTCGGGAAGTGTTTAGGAGTTGTAAGCAAATATGTTGCATCTTCTGACCAGTAGGTGGTGCTGTGGCAAAACTGCTTATTTACATTCAGGTCACACTTGTAATGACATATACCTACACTGTAAAAAATCTATGAAAAATTAGTCATGACAGCAAATGTTTTAAGTTCATTGTAACTTATTAAACTAAACTATTCATGATCTAATTTAATTTGATAAGTTACACAAGCTGTTTTAGGTTAGTTTAACATAATATAAGTTCAATGGACTCAAGGTTAATTTGATTCAGCTTAAAAATTTAAGGCAGCCAGGATTTTTTTTAAACTGTAGTATCTTTTTTTCTGAATAAGCTAAATGTTTGTAAAGATACAGCCTTGTGTCTTTTGTAAAGTGTTATTTGTCATATTTGTGTGCGCATTAGTAATCAACACAGGCTCACTGAAAAATCTGCCTATAATAAGCGGTAACACTTTAATTAAGGTTACAATTCACTGTAATAACAAACCATTAACTAATATTACTAGCTTAATAAACCGCTAGTTAGTTGTTTATTAATAGTAAGGTAGAAGTTTGGTTTAAGTTTTGGGTAAGATTAGGGATGCAGAATAAGATCATGCAAACTAACGGACAGTTCGTATTGTAACAACAGGCAGGTAATAAGCAAGTAGTTAATAGCATGAATTTTGACCTAAAGTGTTACTAAAAAACATACTTCAACGAATGTTTGACTGCAGTTTCTAGGTAAAATGAATGCTAAACATCAATATTACACCAACAGTAGCTGCTTTTCACACTTTACAGGGACATATTATTGACAAATAAAAGATTACTTTTGAGCAACCACAAATATATAGCACAAAACACCTTAACAATCTCCATGATTAATAATCTAATAGATCTGTCTCCTTATAAACAACTTTTCTAGCGTGGTCAGTTTGCTTGGTAGCACACCTTGTACAGTACTGTACTTCAAAAAACTTTGCGTTCAAAAAAGATACACAAAAGAGATAAAAGTAATGTGAAATACATGGCGGGGGTGCACTTTTCTATTAAGTTTGCTTTTAAAAAACACTATTGTTTGGGTTTAGAGAGGGGTTTAGGTCCATTTTTTGCTTGTCTAGGTAATCTGTATGACAAGCCCCACCTTTTCATGGATGTTTACAAAAAAAATGTGTATCTGAAACATACAAAAAAAACCTTAGTAGCATATTTCACATTCACAAAAGTGTAGATGGCATCTTCTGCTGGATTTTTCATCTAAAACGTGCAACAAAACATACCTGAAGCACGTATTCAAGGTTGTTATAATGTAGACTGAGGCACGGTGAGCCTGAGTTGTTATTATGGGTTTGAATAAACATGCTGAGTTCTTAAAGGGGACCTATTATGCAAAAATCGCTTTAAAGGGGTTTAAACAAAGTTGTTTTACAACAGTTTGTGAATGTAACCAGCTTTAAAAAAAATTTGTAATCACACTTCATATAAACAAACACACTTTGTTTGACATTCTCTCTTTGTATTAGTCATCATAGGGGGAAAGCCCTGCCCATTAGTGACAATCTTTCCCTCGTTATCATAGGATGTTAGTCTTGTTTTTGAATCTGCCATTATGCTGACACAGGCAGTGTTGCCAGATATAGCTGACTTTGCAGCCCACACGCTGTCCAAAACTCGCGCAAATAGACAAAAAACGCCCAAAATATTAGATTAATATTTAATTTCGTTTTAATTCATTTAAATCTAAATTATTAGTTACTTTAACTGTCATAGTTTTTAACCATAAAGCAACCAACACAAACAGTCACAGTCAGAACATAACCGGATCACTTGGAAACATTGCCTCCCTCTCACCAACACACTGCACTTATTGTTGTGTAGATTACACTACCTGTTAAAAATTTTTACTTTCGAAATGGCGTAAAAATTAATCCCATTTGGCGATTTAAATTCATTTGAACATAATTAGGTTATGCCTGTCAATCAGACAAAATCTGTTCTTGCTCTTAAATGCAGAAAAAACAAGATCAATAAAAGTGTTGTGATAAACCGCTGTGAGTTTAACTACGGGATCTGCTTGAATGCACATGCACGTGAAGGGGAATTAGATTTTGCTACTTTCCTTTGCAGGTGCATGGGCCCGCGCAGTTTGTGCTTTGCACTGGTCACTACTAACTGAATGGAGTAGGAGCACACAGATATGTTTTGTTAAATAAGTTGCTTATAAAATTTACATTTCAAAACCGCCCAAATTTGTCACCCTGCCTATGCCATTTTTACCCGCACTATCAAATTCAAAACCATCCAATCTGGCAACACTGCACATAGGCATTTGTAGCTTCACTCTCTTTTGAAAAGAAGCCTAGGAGCACAATCTCATTTAAATGTAAAGAGACAGTCACTAAAATCTCACAATTAGCATTAAAGCATAAAAGGCGCAGTTTCAAAAATTAATAAAACATTATTTGTGTGGTATTTTGAGCTGAAACTTCACACACAGACTCTAGGGACAGCAAAGACTTATGTTGAGTCTTGTAAAATGGGGCATGATAGGTCCCCTTTAACTTTTTGTTACCATGGTCTAAAAGATGATCCGAGTTTATTTTTGTAAAAATCAAAGCATGTTTGTAAATATATGTTATTGTCTGTAAAGCTTTGCTTTTTGTATTCTGGAATTAAACAGCCTGAGTGCAAGAAATTGCTATGTGTGAACTGAAAAATTTATGTATGTTTTAAATATTAAACATCTGAAACAAATAGACCACACTCAAATAAAGGTGTTCTTTTGCATGTGGCTCCACAGACGAGCCATTATTGTTTCCCAAAACTTCAATGGAGAGCATCTACACTGTAAAACCCAACAGTCAACTTTATCAAGTAAAATGAGTGTAGTTAACTTAGAATTGAATGAAAATAAAATTCTACTGAAAAGATTTGAACGCAGTGTTGAAGGCAATGATTTATTTAAATACCTCTTTACTTCAACTTAAACTGAGTAAATTCACAGTATACGTATTTAGTGTAAATTAGTTTTTTAACATAAAGAGTTTGAGCTACCTTAACTTTTTGGGTTTTACAGTACTCAGTTGACTTGAGTTCTCTTCATTTATTGGGTTTTACTGTGCTCAAATTGCTTCATTTGCTCAAATGGATTAAGTTCACTGTACACGTTAGAATAATTTTTAAAATGTATTTATATGTTTTATTTAAATTTAAATAAAAATTAGATATGTTTGTTTAAATTTAAATGTTTTAATCATTTGTTTTCACAAATGGTTTGAGTTACCTTAACTCTTGGGGTTTTACAGTGTAAGAAAGCCATCAAAATTGATATAGTATATTTATTTCATCTTTATTTTTAAGAATGTAGTTTTGTGAACCATTCAGAAGTTCTTAACAAAAATGACGTTTCTTGACCAGCTGTGTGCTGATGTGCCAGGATGTGATATTGCATTACAGCTGACTTATTTAACGCTACAAATTTAAAAATCCAAATATTAAGATGGACATTTTAGAATTGGAATTTTTACTTTATTTAACCCCAAATAATAAAGTGCTTCCTTAAAGGGATAGTTGATCCAAAAATGTACATTTAATCAATATTTACTCACCCTTAAAAGGTCCAAACCTTCACAAGTTTCTTTATTCTGTTGAACACTTAAGAAGAAAAACTGTAGATATTAGCTTCCATAGTAGGAAAAGCACATATTGTGGAAGTCAAATATTTCCAGTTTTCTTCAATATATTGATACACATTAGAATAATGATCCATTAGTTAATGTCAGTTCATGCATTTACTAACATTAATTAAGTATCAATAATCTTGTAATCTATTTATTAATTATAGTTCAACATTACCTAATGCATTATTAAAATTCCAAAGTTGTGCATGTTAACATTAGATAAAGTTCCATGAGTAAATATGAACTAACATTTTAAATAACTTAATCTTAAATAACATTACCTAACATCAACAATGATTAACAGTTATAAATGTATTACTAATTGTTTGTTCATGTTATTAAATACATTTACATTAACTAATGGACCAATATTTATATGTTATATTATAATGGATGAATATTTATATGTTTATATATTATATTTTTATGTTAAACCATTAAGGAAAAAATGTCAAACAGGTTTGGGACAAGTAAAAGATGAGTAAATGATGACAGAATTTAAATCTTTGGGTGAACTTACCCTTTAAAATGTATTAGTAGGGCTGCATAATTAATCAAAATTCTGTTTCAAATTTCAGTTTGGTTTCCAACGATTAAGAAAAAACATTAATTGAGATTAAACACTCATTGGTTTTTACATGAAAATTAGTAAAATCATTTACATGACTTCTGCAGCATGGAAAGTGCTTATTGATATTTATTTAATTCATTTATGTTTTTAATACATTTCTAATTCATGATAAATGTATATCTCCAAAACTTTTTGGATATATGACCCACTGATAATCATTTTAAATAATAGTGAATTATGAGCAAAATAATTTTGATTATTATTTTTCCAGAGTTGAGCAGCTCTATGTATCAGTATTTTAGTAGCTAAAGTGTGCTTATTGGTATTATTTTACCTTTTGTAGCTTGTGATAGTACCACAATAACCCCTTTTGTATATTTTGTTTCTGAGAATGCACCTAAATGGACTTGGTAAACATTTTTTGGCAGGTTGCGAGCCCTGCTCTAAATTCAGACAGTTTAATATCATATCTAAACATTGTAATACAAACGTTTTTGCTGTTCTTTGGCAGCAACTGTCACAGCTGCTAGACGAAAAGTGCAATCCTCTGTAGGCTAGACCGCCTCATTTAACAATGCTCGGCTTGACCTTTGTG